ATAACTCAATAAAAATAAAAAATTTAGCACGAAATCTTCAACCAATATACATGAAGTAAATCAATTTGATATGTAAATCCACCTATAAGCCCCCAAAACCTCCTTTGCTTTAGATCAATGAATTAAGATAGTTAAGCTCCAATTAATTTTGAATCAATATAGATGTATTTGTATAGCACACCATAAAGAATCAAAAGATGCATGAATTAGTCCTCAATCTAAACAAATCTTATAATATTAGGGGCATTCTCAATATAAATCAAGAAATAAAATAATATTCTAGTAAAATATAACACATTGTATCTACAACAAATTCTGTTAGGCATATTTAGTAGCCATATCAATTACCTAACTAGAACATTATATTGAATATTATATATAATCTTCAATATAATGTTCTAGTTAGGTAATTGATGTGGCTACTAAATATGCCTAACAAGATTATGGCATACTATAATTAATTTTACCAACGTGATGAGCTAAAAAAATTTGTTCAATGGATAGTAGTATACAATATTAAAAAAAAATTATTACCTCATATAATATAAAATATTTAAAATGAATTATTTTCACAACTAAAAAAACAAATTTGTTTAATGAACTAAAAAGTGAATTAATTGATGAATAGTGAAAAAGTATCTTTTAAATTTATGGAAATAATTGTTTTAAAAAATTTATATACTATGCAAGTAAAAAGTATAGACAAACATGAGCACTAAAGTAAGAAAGACGAAATAACAGAACTCATTGAGCTAACAAAAAAAATAGTCAAATAAGGACTATATATATTAGAGATAGTGCCATCCTAAGTGCATGGCAAGCCAACACTGAAGTATTTGTTCAAGCAAATATTCTTGAGAATTAAAGTGTAAGAGCCACCAAGATACAAAGCTTGCACTCAATAGCAATTCATCTTTGTCCATCTCCTTTCAAACAAGTTCCCATGAGAATTTAAAAATGCCAAAATGCTATCACTAACATCATCATCCAAATAATATCAAACCATCTAAACATCCAAACAAGATCTAACCATCTTAGAAACAACAAGGAATCAATCCAAATAAGTGAAAATTGCACATTATTAACAATTAAGTGTGATATAAAATTTTTTGTAAATGTCCAAGCAAAGTAGTAGCAGAGGACCATCTTTACTTTTAATCCTAATATAAAATTTGATTTTACCAATAACGATATTAGCATTCAAATCCTTATTCTTGAAAATATGATTATTTCTTTCTTGTCAAATATAATAAGCAGTGATATGCATGGCTAAGAGGAAAATTTTTTGATGAGCTTGCAAAACATATTATCAAGATGATTAAGTACTTGCTACATAGTGACTCCAAGATGAAAAGAATCAAAATAAGGGATAAAGCTTTTAAGAATATGCAGAGGCATCAAACAATCAAAGAAGAGATGATTGTGACTTTCTTTGTAATTTCTGTAGAGAAGGAAAGTATCTATAACATTAGTACCTCTATTAATAAGAATGCCAATAGTTTTAAGACGATCCTTAATAATTTTCCAAACAAGGAAAGCAAAATTGATAGCCATCCCCTTAAACCAAAATTATGCCATGCCACCAAAGGGGAGGATAGATATAAATTCTTATAAATCAACTTATTAGAGAGTTGATCTGTTCCAAATCAAGAACAACTCAACATGCAATCCTAAACAAAAAATAGTTGAATTTGTTGGAAAATGAGGTCATCAGTGCACTAAATAAACTTCCAATGACCTTCATCCAAGAAATTAGCCACAATAGAATTAGAGGAACAATAAAAACTATTTATAATATTCTACTTATATTTTTCAACTAGAGAGCATCCATTCAACGAAGGATAAAAAATGAAAGAGAGCTTGGAATTGTAATTAACCCTAAAATCCATCATATGTCTTAATTTATAAGCATATCCATGAAGCTTCTTCCAGAAGGGGGAGGAGTTAGGTTTGGACCCTAAATAGCTAAAAATATTATAGCACAAATCAGAGAGAGGATAGTCAATGTTATAAAGCCTCCGTATGATTTTAGCCTTACACAAAGTGTGGAGAGAAGACCACCTGTATCTTTAGGAAGAATAGAAGATGTACGTACTAGAGATGGTGTGAAATTTATGGTTAATATCATTACCATACAAAAAATTACTAACCAAATCGGTGATTATCTATCTAAGCTTTTCAGGAAAAGAAGTAGATCTCAACCAATAATAACTATAATTCCAAATAGTAGCACAAATCAATTAAAATTTCTTAGTAAATGAAAGAAGCTTATGCTTCCAATCTGCCAATCAACCCATGACTCTATCAAGGAACATGGAACATATGAAAAAAATAGTATTGGTTGCAAAATTTAGAATTCTAAAATAGATCCAAGGAAGCACTTTAAGGTTGAACCCTAGAATATTTTTGATGTGGGTCTGCAACACAATGTTAACAAACTTGAAAAAAAAAAAGACTTGGAGGGGTTAACAAAGAGCCTAGTGGACAACTTGAACATTTCTAAAATGTTATTCAATTGTGAAATAGATTGATGGTTAGTCGTCCCAAGAATAAGAAGTTCATCATCATAAATGAGGTGAGACATAGCTGATGGGGGATATGGGGTGCACTTTTGAAATATAAAAATATTTAAGGCTCTATCTCCCCTAAAAATACTTAGGTTTTCTTTGCTGTATAAAAATAACAAACCCCATTTAATATATATGGGTATACATGTTGAATCAAGTAATAAAGTGATAAAAAGAGTGTCAAATCCATGAAAAAGCATGCTTTCTAGTAATCAACTACTACTATTTATTATAATTACAAAATTATCCTCTACTAAAATAAAATTGTTAGTTGTGGAGATTCAATCATTGACTAAAAGTAATAAAATTAATATATACAATATTTAAAATAAAATATTTTGAATTAATGAATATAAATTACATATATTTCCTAATGAAACTCTTATTTGTAGTGTGATTTAGAGCATATGCATCTCTAGATCTCTATCGGCTAGTGGTTGAAAAGGATATATAGTGACCTCCTACAGTTATATCATCTCCTTATAAACATAGCATAATTTACATCCTATGTCTAGGTATGCAAATCTATTATTTTAATATTATTGATTATTCTTGCCTCTCTCTATAGAGACTATACATCACACAAGATTTTAACTTCATATATGACCACTATGTGCATTAAATAAAGAGAAGAAAAATATAAAAAAAACATGATTTAACTTTATAACACAAAAAATTTTATTTGTACTTAATATATTCTCTACATCATCAATCTAAAATTAGAGTCTTAGCTAGACATGGAAGAAAAGTTAAGCAAACTATTTTCATTGAAATTATGGAGGAATAAAAATATAAGAGAGTAATATCACTAGGAAGAATCAATATATCTCCTATGCACTCATTTTTTCTTAATGTATAGAGTTGCTTACACAAACACTGAATAAACACTATAATTATTGTTTTAGTACTTTTTTAGTCTCTCTTAGAATTGACTCTAAGAGATATTTAAAAAAGTACTATGAAAAAACTAAAATTAGATAAGTAACTGAACTCACTTACAAATATAACACAATGATTATTTATAGGAAAATATAAATTAGACAAATGGCACTACGACGCCTGAAAGATTGTCGTCATCCTGCCCATAAAATGAACTAACAGCGCTACACTGATGTTTTTGCTTCGCCATGGCACTTTTTGACATGGATCGATTTCTTACTTAACAATCTCATCGCTACTTTGACATATCAAGTCCTTCGGAAGTTACAACTACTACACCATGGTGTTGC